AATTAATTTCTATGTTTATCAAGTTCTTTTTCATGAGCTTGCAGAAAACCGTCAATTTTGTTCATTATGTTTCGTTATTATAGTCATAGTCAAACTCATCAATCTGCAAATGATTTCTATGTTTATCAAGTTCTCTTTCATCGGATTGCGGAAAGCCGTCAATTTTGTATCACTTGTTTTGTTATCATGGTTATAGCAGCACTCATCAATGAGCAAATAAATTTTACGTTTATCAAGGGCTCTTTCATTACGTTGCAGAAACCCATCAACTTTTTATTTTTTAATCATGGTTATAGCCAAACTCATCAATCAGCAAATAATTTCTACGATTGTCAAAAGTTTATTCGTGAGCCTGTAGAAAACCGTCAATTTTGCTCCTTTTTCGTTATCATTGTTATAGCCAAAATCATCAATCATCAAACGATTTCTAGGTTTATAAAGGTCTTTTTCCTTAGACTATAGAAAGCCGTCAATTCTGGTTCTCTTGTTTTGTTATCATGGTTATAGCCAAACACATCAATGAGCAAATAATTTCTACGTTTATCAAGTTCTTTTTATGAACTTGCAGAAAACCGTCAATTTTGTTCATTGTTTTCGTTATTATATTTATAGTCAAACTCATCAATCTGCAAATGATTTTTATTATTGTCAAGTTCTCTTTCATCGGATTGAAGAAAGCCGTCAATTTTGTCTCTCTTGTTTTGTTATCATGGTTATAGCCACACTTATCAATGAGCAAATAATTTTTACATTTATCAAGGGCTCTTTCATTACGTTGCAGAAACCCATCACCCTTTTTTTTTTAATCATGGTTATAGCAAAACTCATCAATCAGCAAATGATATTTATGGGTATCAAGGGCATTTATAAAGTTGAAGAAAACTGTCAATTTTACCCATTTTCCGTTATAATGGTTATAGTAAAACTCTTCACTTAGCAAATAATTTATACATTTATCAAGAGCTCTTTCATCAAATAGGAGAAAGCCGTCAATTTTGCTTTCTTGTTTTTTGTTATCCTGGTTATAGCCAAACTCACCGTTCAACAAATATTTTCTACGTTTATCAAGAGCTTTTTCATGACGCTGCATAAAATTTTCATTTTTGATCTTCTTGTTTTTTTATCATGGTTATAAACTCATAAATCAGAAAATAATTTCTACGTTTATCAATAGGTGTTTCATTAGGCTATAAAAAAACTGTTAGTTTCGCTCAGTTTTTTTGTTATCATTGTTATAGCCTATCTCATCAAGGAGCAAATGATTTCTA